AAAAAAAAAAAAAAAAAAAAAAAGATAATATAAAATAAAGAACAGGAGGGCTGGAGAGGTGGCTCAGAGGTTAAGAGCACTGGCTGTTCTTCCAGAGGTCCCGAGTTCAATCCCCAGCAACTACATGGTGGCTCACAACCATCTATAGTGAGATCTGGTGCCCTCTTCTGGCATGTAGACAGAACACTGTATGTATAATAAATAAATCTTTAAAAAAAATAAAGAACAGGAGGAAATGTTAAATTTCAGTTTGAAGTTAATAAATGAAACAAAAGATGGTTTTCAGACCTGAGTTCACAGAACTCCTGAATTCTGTCCTTGGGCTTTGGGTAAAGGAATGCTAGCCCTCATGGTATGTAAGACGATCACCCCAAGCGGGAGATACTTACAGAGCACACACATTCCTCCACAGTCATTTTTTTAGCAGCACTTCCAGCCATTCTGTGAAGTGGGGAGATGCTATTAGGCCCATTTTCCAGGTGGAGATGTACAGCGTGAAAACTTAACTCACCTGAGTGAGGCCACAGGCATGAGGTCACCTAATGACAGAGCTGAAATGGGACCCAGGTCCCACTCTCCCAGCTTACTACCCTCCTACACATTTGTTGGTGGAAATTTCTGTCCTGCCAATAGCTCCCAACTAAACACACCAAAGCTTATATTAATTACAAATATTCAGCCAATAGCTCAGGCTTATTACTAACTAGCTCTTACAACTTAAGTGAACACATTTCTATTACTCTATGTATTGCCACGTGGCTCGTGGCTTTTCCTGTCCTCCAGCATGTCTTGCTCTCTGTCTCCTGGCGACTCCACTAACTCCGCCCTTCTTCCTCCCAGCATTCTTAGTTTAGCTGTCCTGCCTATGCTTCCTGCCTGGCTACAGGCCAGTCAGTTCTTTACTAACCAATGAGAGTAATATATATTCACAGTGCAGAAGGATTATTTCCCTGGGAATGCAGCCTGGTGCCCTCAGGTTTCATTCTGAGAAGCCACAGCCTCCTCTCCCAGCTGCTTGCCAGTCCTGTTTGCTATCCTGTTACCCCAGTGGTCAAGTTGATTCCTGCAGTTCCTGGGGGCGTCTGAGAGTCAGGGTTTATAGTGTTTCTCGGAAGAGCAAGACAATCATTAACATGAGCCTGCTAGGGAGCACCTGCCTCCCGGCCCAGGCTCTCTTAGCCACCTCTCTGTGACCTTTGGCAAGTCACTCTCTTTTTCCTTTGGTCTCGATCTTTTGCAGGTAGGATTAGGGGTTGGGGCTGTCCTCCTTTGGTTTTGGAAGAAACTGGAGACTGGCTAAAAGTATGATGGTGATCAAGACAGAGGTGATTAGCATCTCTCCTATCACAGCCCTGGACTAGGACCAGAGCCAACTCTCACCCTCTGAGGTGGATGGTGATGTAGGCAAACCCCAGCTTCTGTCTGTCAACTCCAGCATAGCAGGCTATTTCTGTTCCCTTGTACCTAAACCATCCCTGGATCTGTTGGTGTACTCACACCATTTCTACCCTGGATGGGCACGTTCAGGTGCCAACTCAAGGTCTTATCCTCCTCTGGTGAGCTACCCTGGCCCTCTAAGGAGGTTAGAGACCTGCATAGTGGGAGGAGGGAACCGAGGGTACTGCAAGCTGTTCTGACTTCCACACATGTACTGTGGGATGCATACTAACACATACACACAAATAAATGGAGGGACGGGGGAGGGGGGGGAGACTAACTGTGCACCCCGGAAAGAGAAGAGACAACACTTGAAATGTTACCCCCAAGTAGTGTTACCCTCACAGGGCTTCCAAGTTACATCTGAAGACAAGAGTTCCCAAAACAGGTACTGTGGGGTTACTCACACCTGTGCCACAGTAACGACAAGGATCAAAGGTGGCTGGCTGCAGGGTGAGGGATGGGGTACAAGAAGCCATGCAGTGGGCGAAACATTTCAATTTTCCAGCTGTTGGGAAGAACCGGGTTGTGTGAAGGAGCCAGCAAGGCCGAAACAGAAACAGAAAGCAAACGGTCAGAGGTCACATCATGGGAATGGCAGAGGCCAGAGCCCGCCTTAGACACCTGGGTATGGGCTGTGCATTTTATAATCAATGCTGAGGAAGACTCCTGAGAAACTCAAGCATAGCGGCTCTTGTTTACAATCAGCACTTAGGAGGCTGAGGCAGGAGGTTAGCCTGAGCTACACAGAAAGACCATCTCAAAAACCAAAACTCAGGGCTGGAGAGATGGCTCAGTGGTTAAGAGCAGTGACTACTCTTGCAGATGACCTGGGTTCAATTCCCAGCACCCACATGGCAGCTCACAACTGTCTGTAACTCCAGTTCCAGGGGACCCGACACCCACAGAAAAACACAAAATGCACATAAAATAAAAATAAAATTTAAAGAAAAGAAGAAAGGAAAAACCAAACTCACAGGCTGGAGACATGGCTCAGCAGTTGAAAGCATACACTGCTTTTGAGAAGACCCAGGTTTGATTCCCAGCACCTACATAAGCTGAGTAACAATTGCAGGAACTCCAGCTCCAGGGACTCGGATGCCTCTAGTCTCTGAGGGCACCTGTACTTACAGGCACATATCCACACAGGTACATACACAAAATTAAAGATAATGAAAAAATATTTAAAGTCACAAGCCACGCTAGGCATAGTGGCACATGCCTACTGTCTTAGCAGCTGGGAGGTAGAAGCAGGAGGATTATGAGTCCAAAGCCATCCCTAGCTATATACCAAATCCAAGGCCAGGCTGGGTTACATGAAACCTGTCTCAAAAACAAAAGACAAACAACAAACAAACAGACAAAAAGGCCCAAGGAGAAGGCTCAGTGGGTAAAGTACTGGCCATGCAAGCGTGAGATCTTGAGTTCAAATCCCCCGCACCAATGTAACAAGCTGGGTGTTTCCTATGAAGCCACATGTAACCCCAGCTCTGAGGGTGGCAGAGACAGGGGCTTGCCGGCTTCTAGCCTCCCTGAGATGCAAGCCCCAGGTTTGGGAAGAAAGACTGCCTGAGAGGAACAGGCAAAGCGTGATGGAGAGGGTATCCAACGCCCTCTTCTGGCCTCTGTATGCACCTGCACATATTAAGTACACTGAGCCCTCCCCATCTGTCTGTCCGAGGGGTTTTTGTTGTTTGAAACAGGGTCTTTCTACGCAGTCCTGACTGTCCTTGAACTCGCTATGTACACCAGACTGCAACTGAGTTAAAGACCATCTTGCTGTGTAGCCCACACTGGTCATGAACTACTGTCCATATTGAGTGCCAGGATTATAGATGTGCACTACTATACCTGGTTTGCATCTGAGATCTTAACCTCCTAGCAACCTCCCTCCCACATGAAACCACGCTGATATAAAATACCTAACACAGGTAGTGGAGGGCTTTGGGTGTGGGGACACTGAGACAGTGTCTTGCTCTGTAGCCCTGGCTGGCCTGGTACCTCCTGGTACTTGTTATGTAGCAGAGGCTGGCTTCAAACTTGCTTCAATCCTTCTGCCTCTGCATCCTCAGTGCTGCAGTTACAGGCATATGTCACCATACCTGGTGTAAGCTTGTAAATGAGAGCTGTAATTTACAGGGCCTCATTTAATTTGAAGCCAATTTAACATTTTTATTGTGTATTATGCGTGTACGATGGTTCACATGGGCCACAGAACATATGTGGGGATTAGAGGATAACTTTTGAGAGTTGGTTCTCTCCGTCCATTGTGGGACTGATATGGTGATATTTTATTTATATTAAAATGTTATTTGTATGTTAATAAATAAAGTTGCCCGGGGGTCAGAGCTATTAGCAAGCCATAGGAAAGCAGGGCAGTGGTAGCGTACGCTTGTAATTCCAGCACTTAGTAGGCAGAGCTGGGTAAGTCTGTGTGTGTTCAGGGATACAGCCATTATTGGATACACATGCCTTTAATCTTAATACCAATCATGGAAAACCTGGAGGCCTATACAGACAGGCTGTGAGGAGGCGGTCATGTGGTTGGGTTTACAACCAATGAGAAGGCAGGACAGGAACTCTATATAAAGACTTTAACACAGGGGTAGCTCTGGTTCGGAGAGGTAGGACCACTGCAGGAGGAAGGGTAAGGTTTTGGCTCTTAGCTCTGACCTCTTGGCTTTCTTCTTTGCATTGGTTCTGTGTTTATTGTTTGATGGGAAGGTTGGATACATCTACAGACTGAACTTGTCATGAGGTTTGCAGCAGGGCTGGCCTCAAACTATGTAGTCAGAATGACCTTGAACTCCTGGGTTTCCTGCCACTGCTTTCTAAAGGATTCCAGGCCTGCAAATGGCTCCTAGTTACCAGCAGCCTCCAGTCTGATACAACTGCAGGGCTTTTCACACTGTAAATGACACCCTTACTGCGCAGTTCCTACTCTCTGGAAGAGGCAACCTGGCCTGTATCCGTGTCTCCGTACCTCCCAGCACTGTGGACTGAAGCAATGAAAACCAGGGCTGCCCACAACACAGCCCTATTCCCTTGTTTACTCTTGAACAGCTGTTGTGGTGAACACACAGATCCTTGGCAAGCAGGCCAGGCTTTCTGGTGAGTCACAAACACAGGGAGCCCAGGGAACCCACTAAACCCCAAGGAAGACAGCCCCCAGCAGAGGGCTGCTATCCCTCACTCAGTCCCTTTCTCATCCCTGGAAATCTCTCTCTCTCTCTCTCTCTCTCTCTCTCTCTCTCTCTCTCTCTCTCTCTCTCTCTCTCTCTCTCTCCCCCCCCCGATGAGCAGAAGGCCCATCACTGTCTGCCACCCTCTTCGCTCCAGCTAGAAAAGCCCAGGGTTGGAGGGTCCAGACCCTTAGGATGGGTAAGGGAGGAGGAGCCTGCAGCACAGCAGGGCAGATGCTCTGGCCTTGCAGCAGCAGCCACATGAGAAAACAGCTTGTTGAGGTGGCGTGTACCGCTGAAGACCACCACCCTAAAAATCTAGTAATGGGGGAGGGTATGATGAATGTGTCCAAGGGTTCAACCACACACAAATCACTCATGGAAGTTTGAAAGATATTTATTTAAAAAAAAACAAAAAAGCTTTGGTATTTCAAAAGCCCACAACCATCCATCACTAGAAAGTTAAACACCTTTCCCAGGGACCCAAAGTACAAAAGGACAGATCCCGCTGGCTCAAGGTGAGAAGGAGGCAATGTGCAAACCGGCTGTAGGCCAGGGGAACCACACCTGCCCAGGCAGGGTGGCCGCCTGGAGCTCAGGCCCAGCCTCCAGACTGGGGCCCCGGGTGCCAAGGAGTGGCAGGGATCGGTTGTTGCCATCAACAGTCCTGATCTAAGGTGGATGAAAAGCCACCCAGCAAAACTTCAACAAAAATAAATTAGAAATCCATTCAAGAAAGAACACATTAAATTAGGAAAAGAACACAATTTTTCCTCAACAAGTCTTTTAAAGAGGATCTCTTTCCTGGGATAGAAGACGGGGGGGAAGTGGGAGGAGTGCGCTCAACTTCAAGTATTCTCCCTACGGGTTTGTTTTATTGACTGGGAAACTTACACGAGTCCTCGGCCCTCTTTCCCTCCAGTGCAAACTCTTGTACCCACAAGCGCTTCTGAGTCACTGTCCCCCACAAGGCACAAAGGGTTGGTGCTTCCAAAGGCTCCCTGTTCATGCAGCAGCAGGATGCTCAGTGCTGGGTGTCTTGTGCAAACGGTGGCCGAGAGCGGGACTCGAGGTTCACTCAGACACTGGGATCTTCCTGCTCAATGAAACAAGAGGTCACTATTTAGCACCAACCCACAGCCCAGCTACAGAAACATCTGGGGAAAAGTCAGGTATGGTGGTGCACACCCGTGATCCCAGCACTTGGGAAGTAGAGGCAGGAGGAAAGTGCGAGCCAGCTTCTACTACATAGCAAGTTCAAGGCCAGCCTTGGCTACACGAGGCCATCTCAAAACAGACAAATACACACATTGGCAGGGGAGCAGACCACAGAGACAATGTCTCAGATTCAGCCAAATAGATAGCTCCCGGCCCATGGCCAGGCTAGAATTACTATGTAGTGGCCCATGAACCTCCATGTAGAGATGGGGCTCTCTCTGGCATGGCAGTGAGGGGCATGGGCAGTTCCTCAGGGAGGCAGTTTGTCTTCCCAACTGAATGGTGAACATTTAAGAACATACATGTCAAGCAAGAGCAAGGGTAGGTGGCCAGTGGCCAGTAGGGAAAGAGCCTGCTGGCTCCAGAGGCTGCAGAACTCACCTTTCCTATCAAAGCTGGCCAAAAGCTGGCTACTGGGAAGGCCTTCTCCACACCGCTTTTCCACCCAAGTCTCCACTGGTTCCCTCATCATGAGGAACTCAGACCTGCCTCCATCTGCTGCCTGCTCCTGAGGGCCAAGCATTGCTTTCCTGCAAGCCTGGCCTTAAACCAGAAACCAGATGCCACAGTTTCTTGGTGGCGGGGACTGGCCCATCGCCTGCATGGGCTCAGGGCTTCCTAAATGCCGGGACACAGATCCACTACCTGGTCTACCTTTCTATGGCACTATTGGGGAGAGGAGAGGCAGGAAGGGCCTGGCTGGCCTGCTGCCGTGGGCTGACTAAATAATTGCATCAGCCGACCCACACTGAGAGCCTGACCACTGAGGGCATGTTTTTTTTTTGTTTGTTTTGTTTTGCTATGTAGTTCAAGTTGGTCTCAAACTCACAACCTTCCTGCTTTAGCATCTTCAATGCTGGGATAACAGGAGTATACTACCATAACTAGCTTGCTGTCAAAATGGACTCCTCTCTTTGACCCGAGAGCTGTGGGCACTGGCTTGAAGGAGATCCCATTACTGCCTAGGCTGTCCCCTGGCCAGGCTGCCCTTTTTGGACACAGCTGAGAATGGCAGGAGCTTGGGGCTTTAGTAGAGGTAGCCTACCTTGCTCCTGAAGAGGGGCTTGGCTCCAGGCCCACAGTATTCATTATAGATGAGTTTAAAGAGGAAGAGGTGGAAGAGGGTGATGAGGGAGGTCACACTGAACCAGAAGAGGAAGGGCAGACCGGGATCCTGCTGGGCCATGTGCTCATCGTGGGCCAGGATGGCCTTGAGGTGCAGTGTGTGCCGCAGATCCTGCAAGTGTGTGAGGTCGGTGGAGATGTACAGCAGTGGTGTGATGGGCTGTGTCACCATGACAGAGAAGGTGTGGCCCCCAGGCTCTGAGGTCAGTTCCACAGGGTCCTGGAGGCAGCCTGCCTCACAGGCATAGATCTTGACAGGCTGGCCTCGGGACTCTACGGACACGTGCAGGTAGGGTTTGCCCTCTGCATCCACCAGCACAGCCAGGTTGATGTGGTCATTCTTGTAGCGTATTCCATGCAGCGCATAGCTGTTGTGGAGCACCTCAGGGTCGGCCTGGAACTGCAGGTGGTTTTCTGTGAACTGTAGCCCGCCGAAGCTGAGCACCATGCCTTGCAAGATACCTGGAGCGCCAACCTTCACCAGCCCCTTGCAGCCTCGCTTCTGGAGGGTCAGCTTCCACAGGTCAGCCAGCTGCAGGATCTGCTGCACCGAGGAGAGCTGGCCTGGCCACAGGTTCTCGGCATGCATGGTGGCATGGCCACTGAAACAGTGGTCTTCATAGTTGAGTGTGGCTTCCATTTGGTCTCGCTCCCTGTGGCTCAGAGAAGGGCTGAGCAGCGGGGCTGGAGAGCAGGAGAGCATGTAGTACAGCGTCAGGTTCACGGTCAGGCCAGACGGCGTGTGGGCATCTGTAATCTTCTTCATCTCCACACCTGTAACACCACAAAGGCTGCACATTAGGGGAAGGCCTGGCTGGAGGCAAAGGAAATGGAAGACCAGGACGAAAAAAGGTGGAGCTTTGGGTCCAGTAATAAAGGACAGCCATTTGGTGCCCTGGGTATGGTAGAGCCATCCTCACTTCCTGAGATGAAAATCTTCACTCATCTTGGTGGGATTTAGAATTATCACAGAAACAAACCTCTGGGCACGTCTATGGAAGAGTTTCTACACTAGATTGAGGTGGGAAGATCCACCTTAAATGTTAGGGGTCCTACACCATGGGCTGGGGTCCAGGACTGAGTACAAGGAAACAGCGAGCTGAGTCCCAGCATCCAGCTCTCCCACTACGATGGGCTGTGCCTCTGAAGTACAAGCCAAAATAAACCTTCTTCAGTCAGTTGCTTTTGTCACAGCGATGCAAAGAGTTAAGTAATAGGACATCTAACATGACCAGCTAGGGTCTGTGGGACCTCCTGCCAGAGCCGAGCACAACACACATGGGTCAGGTCTTATCACCCAACCAGGTGTCACTTGTGTCCTAGCCAATACTGGCTGGGTCTTCTATCACTCTCTCCAATAACTATAGCTTAAAAAAATATTTTATGTATGTATGTATATATGTAAGTGTGTCTGTGCATAATTTATGCACAGAGCCCTGGGAGGCCAGAAGACGACCTTGATGCCTTAAAACTGGAGTTATAGCCCATTGTGAGCTGCCATGTGGATGCTGGCAGCAGGTCCTCTGAAAGAGCAGCCAGTGCTTGTACCCACTGAGCCATTTCTCCAGTCCCTCCTAGAGCTATTTTAATATGTGATCTTATTCCAATTTGGAGACGGGGTCTCTCTATGTAGCACAGGCTGGCCTTGGACTCACATTGTCCTTCTGCCTCACTCCTGAGCGCTGAGGTTATAGAGGAAAGTACCTTAATCTGCTTTAGTGCTGTGGCTTTAAATGACATGGCCTCTAGAGTCACAGGGCTAACCACCCCCTCAGCGTCTGCACCTGGATATCTGACAGGCATAACTGACCTATGTGAACTTTCATCCCCAACCAAGGCTCCCCCTAGTTATTTCCAAGCAACCGTTGACACCCCCAAATCAGGGAGCTGTCCACAGGTCTCACTTCCTACAGCCAAACCATGGCCCAAAAGTCCTACCTCCCAAAATATCAAAGTGCACCACTTCTATCTCCATGTCACAACCCGGTGTCTCCTCCTTCCCCTGGGCTCCCCAGGAACCGCTTACCTGTGTCCATGCCCCCTCAGTCTATACTCTGAGGACTCCCACCTTCCCGTCTCAATAAAACTCCTTGTTCTTCCTCAAGGCTTCAAGCTCACACACCACCCTGTTCCTGCTCATCACCAGGCTTAACCTGCTCCTGTTTAGGGCAGTCTCCAGGCTGAATGCCCACTTCCCTGTCACATGACTCAGGCCTAAGTGGCACTACATCCAGGGAGCAGACAGCAGCCCTCCCAGCCCTCACACTCACCAGCACTCCACTGCTCACTTTTCTCCACAGCACTTTCCATTCTAAGAGCTGTCTCACTTAAAATGTTCATGCTCCTGTCTTCCTCCCCACCAGACTAAGGCAAACACTGCTTGAACAAGAACTCCTTTTGCTCACTTGTCCAACAGCCTCCGGCAAAAGCACTTGATGAATAGATACCTGTTGAATGAACTAAACTCCCTCTGCACAACCCCACAGGTGCCGATACCTGTAACCCTGGAAACCAAAACTCAGTACTATGATTGCATTTTCTGTAACAGTTGACAGGAAAGGTTTTCACTTGCAAAGAACAAATAAGAGTATTAAAACAACAGCAACAAAGTAAAGTTTTCATTTAGCATGCACATTCCAACCTACTGGAAGAAGCCCCCAGGAGTCTGGTAAAAATAGCTGCAGCCACAACGGCAATCTCAAACATTAGAAGCTGAGGCCAGGCCCAGGCAGGCTGTGGTGGGCAAAGCAAAGTGTAGGGAGTGAGGGGTGGGGTGGGGTGTGGGGTATCCTCCCTGAAGGTTTATTCTTTACGAACTGACCCCCTCCCACACAAAACAAAAGCCTCCATCTGCTCAGGTCAGGCCTCAAGGCCAAGAACAAACAATAAAACTGAACCTTTACACCCAGATTTTCATTAAAACCCCATAAAACTTACTGTTAAGGCTCAGAAAGCTAAGACCATATAGAGCCTAGATCATACAGATTCAAAGGTTAGGAAGAGATTCAACCCTTCACACAAGCCCAAGTTCTAACCCTCGGTGTGACCACTGCAGAGCATGGAGAACATTTCTAAAGTGGACCGTATGCACACTGGTGCAGAGTGGAGACTGTGTACCAAGCCCCCATCAAGGCCTCACCTGGGCTGAACAGCTGGGCCCAGAGGTGCTGGTGATCCTGAAGCAGCTCCGAGGCGGGCATCTCTAACAGCTCCAGCATTTCCTTCCTTGCCAAGTCCTGCAGCGCCTTGAGCTCCTTGGCTCCTTTGCTTTTGAGCACCTGGGGGTGGATGGGACCAGAGACATGCACCACCCACAGCACCGTCTCATCCAGCTGTGTCTTGGGAGCCACCTGGAGCCGGTTCACTAACTTCTTAGAGGCCACCACTACCAGGTGCACCAGCCCCGATGGAAGGGGTGTGGACCGGCCCGAGTAGAGGAGAAACTGATGATCTCCGACCTTCTCCAGAGTGCTGGTGAAGGACTTGGGTATTGGGCCCGCGGTGGGCCCCACAGTCTGCAACGCAGCCACGCGCTCCGTGGGATTGTTGAGCTGGATGCGCTGCAGATAGACATGGGGTCGGCCTCGGTGCGCTAGGAAGTCCTCCTGCAGTAGCACGCAGTCACGGCCCGACCCCGCGGAGAGCCCGGAGGCCGAAGCTGGCCCGGCGACACCAGAGGCAGGGCCCGAGCCCGGGGTCCCCAGCTGCAGGCAGCGCACTCGGCGCAGCAGGCCCTCCCGCAGCAGCAGCACCGCCTCTCCAGCCTCAGCCAGCACATTCAGCGGGCGCAGCTGCACGAAGGGCACGAAGTCCGGCGCCACCGCAGGCTCCCGCTCCCCGGGCGTCACCCACAGCCGGTTGTAGGCGGCGTCCAGAGCCAGAAAGCCGTTGGCCACCAGGGCTGGCACCCCGGGGCCCAGCGGCACCGCCTCGCCGCGATCACGCAGGCCGCGCCACGCACGGGTGGCCGCCTCCAGGCAGGCGGACGGCTCGGCGGCGCCCGGCTCGCTGTGGGCCCAGGACGGCAAGCGCAGGCCGCCCGCCGCCCGCCGCGCTCCGGAGCTCCCGAACCAGAGGAGCAGCAGCAGGAGGCCGAGCAGGCAGAGGAGGCGGCGGGCCCAGCTGCTCGACAGCAGCCCTGGCAGCCCCTTCAGGCGCTGCTGCAGCCACATCGGGCCCGCCGCCCAGCCCGCCCGCCCGGCCGCCGCCACTCACTCCCTGGCCCGCGTCGCCGCGACCACCTCGACGCCAGCCGCAGCCGTCCCGGCAGCTACCGCCACCGCTTCCTCCTTCTTCTCGGTTGCCTCCCAGCCGTCAAACGCCGCCAGCCGTAAAGCGTCGCCGAGTCCTTTGCGACAGACGGAAAAGCGGCCGGGGGCGGGATTTGGAGGAGAGGTGGAGTCTCTCTGGGGGCGTGGCCGGGACGCGGGGCGGGGCGGGGGAGAGGGAAGGCATTAGGAGAGCAGAGGGGTGGGCCGGAGTCCAAATCTCCCGTTTAAAAAAAAAAAAAAGAAAGAAAGAAAAGAAAATCACAGAGCAAGCCAAATCCAACATGTGTTGCGCCTCGTTTGCTGCTGATGGTTTCAACAGCCCTAAAGTTAAAACGTACTGTTTCTGTAAAACTATTCCTGAGTAAAGAAAAGACAGCAAGCCCCAGTGATCGTCATGTCTCTACCCTCCAGTGCTGGAATTTCAGTACACACCACTAAGCCTAGCTTTTCAGTGAGTACGGGTAAATGGAAGGAAGGGAGGAAGGAAGGAAGGAAGGAAGGAAGGAAGGAAGGAAGGAAGGAAGGAAGGAAGGAAGGAAGGAAGGAAGGAAGGAAGGAAGGAAGGAAGGAGGAAGGAAGGAGAAAGGAAGTGGAGGGAGGAGGGAAGGCAGGGGAGGAAGAAAAGAGTACTTAGTGAAAAATGATTTCCTAGGAAATACTTTGTTGACGTGCCCAAATCTGCCTGATTGCGAGTACACCAGAGTGGGACGTCATAAATCCAGCCCAGGACTGTCTGTTTCCTGAGCGCATCAAGTCGTTTTCTTGATGTGAATACTGAGATTTAATTCATTAAATAACATGAGACATTAAGATTTCATACTTTGACAAGGCCTGCAGCATCCATCTAGGGGGGAAAAAATTCAACTGGGGCACTCCAGCACACAATAGGTGGTTGTTTCCACTTTGGATTGGGGCAAACAATGGGCGATTGTTTCCACTTTGGCTACTGGGCAATCCAGAGCCAGCCAGCCAGTTGCAAATTTGCAGTCGACAATTAAATGGTCATTTGAGGTGGCTTGTAGTGGACCGTAAGCAGACGGAAAGCTGTTTGCTGAAGTTGTGAGCCAGTGTCCCATTGGGAGAGTGCTCATCCTGTTCTGATTGTATTTTACTATTTATTTATCTTTGAGACAGGATCTCTCTTGTGTTGTCCAGGCTGGACTTCAAACAACTCCTGGGCCCAAGGGATCATCCTCTTTTCTTATCATCCCTAGTCGCTAGGATTAAAATCGTGCAAGCTGGCCACCAAGCGTGATAACCTGAGTTCTGTATCCAGGACCTACATGACGGAAGGAGAGAACTAACTCCTGCAAGTTGTCCTTTGACCTCCAAATGCACAGGGTGGTTTGTCCAAGTCAGAAGATGGTGTGGGATCCCTGGAGTTGGAGCTACAGGCACTTGTGAGCTGCTTGATGTGGGGTGCAGGCCTCTTAACCCCCAAGCCATCCCACTAACCTCTCTTTTTAATTTTCAAAAATGTATAATTATTGTGTGTGCATGTGAGCATGATTTATGTGTGTTTGGATATTTGTACTACACAAGGTCTGAGGACAATTCTGGGAGGCCAGTTCTTTCCTTGCCCTTTGGATGAGTTCCAGGGGTCGCATTTACATTGCCAGGCTTTTGCAGCAAGCCCCCTTACCTACTGAGCCATCTTACCTGCCCTCCATCCTATTCTTTGAAACTGAACCCAGAGCTTGTTGATTCTGCTAGAATGACTGGCCAGCAAGCCCCAGAGATCCTCCTGTCCCTACCCCCCGGTGCTGGAATTTCAGTGCACACCACCGAGCCTAGCTTTTTAAAATGAGTACTGGAGACCAAACTCAGGTCCTCCACTGAGCCACCACCCCAGCCCCTGTGAGTATTTTTGCTACAAACACTGGTGTAATGGAAGTATATCTTGACCTACTTCTGTGCATGTTTCTTGGGAAGCAGTTCATCAAGACAGATTTCTAGATCAAAGCCTTATTTATTACGTGTGCTCCTAACTCCTTGTCATCCTCAAATACCCCAAGGCATGGGTATGGGAGTGCTCAGAGGCAGGAGTCGGCCACAGCAAGTAACCCCATGGGCCTCAGTTTCTCTACCTATAAAATGGGTATCATACAATAAATTAGGCTTGCTCTGAGACTTAAATTGGACAAGTGCTTGAAGTTTAACACACTGCATGGCTCATATGAAGCGTTCACTATTTAGCTTAGCGCCAAAGAGTCATCTTCCCTCCTGAGGCCCCAGCCCTGGTGCAACCAATGTACTTGTTTCTAGGACATTTTTCCAGTCTATTTGCTTTGCAGATAAATATATGCATTTTATTTTTCTAGCCAGAAACTGTTGCGTAAGATGTATATTTGCTTATTATTTGTTTTATTTAAAGAAAAAGCTGAGAGAATTCTAGTATTCTATTGGGGCTAATACCAGTGGGAAATGACAGCCCATCAGACAACTCAAAGTGTGGTCATCGCACGAAGCTGTGGCTCCTTCACAGGCCGACAAAGGAAATGAGACACACACACACACACACACACACACACACACACACACACACACACACACACACCTTTCCCCATCCTGCAGTTGTCCAACACCTTCCTAATAAAGTGGAGTCCTGTGCCTTTAACAGTCCATAGCACGCATAGCACGTACTAGAAATACCAGAAGCAACATCTGGACAGCAGCCACCACCTCTGCTTAAAGAGACAGGCCATTCTAGATGGTGCTTGGACCAGGTTCAAGTTCAAGCACTTTGGTGAAACAAACAGGAAACAGACACCAAAAGAGTAAAGCAAAGCTTTGCCAGTGTGAATTTTTCCTCCTGAAGAGGCAGGCAGTCTCTAAAACCGATCCCTCTTAATTTAGACTCTGGAGAGTGCCTGGGAATGTCCAGGGCATATCACTATTGAGAGTCTCCCTAGACTCTGGGAACTGTCTGATGCTTCCTTACTGTGGTCCCACATCAATTGTGTAATGCCAAGCTGATGCTTCTCTGAACCTCAGTTTCTCATTTTGCAAACGGATGCAAACTGCCTGACTAGAGTCAATTATGAGCATGGAATGAGATCATTAAAAATGAGCCAGCTGAGCTGGGTGGTGGTGGTGCATGCCTTAATCCCAGCACTCAGGAGGCAGAGGCAGGCAGCTCTCTGTGAGTTTGGGGCCAGCCTGGTCTACAGAGTGGGTTCCAGGACAGCCAGGGCTACACAGAGAACCCCTGTCTTGAAAAACTAAAACACCCCCCCCCCAAAAAAGAGCCAGGCTGGCTGACTCTTCCTCCCTTCGTCCTTGCACTTCCTCTTCTAAGGGTCTGGAATCTCAGTCTGCAGCCTTCTGAGCCCAAAACAGCTGGGCGGGGGGGGGGGGGGGGGGGGGGAAGCTTGGCACCAAGTCCTGACCCCAGCTGCAGCAGCTCCCAGCTAGGAAGCAAATGTTCTAGGTTCTGTTCTAGGCCTCTTCCTCTGGCTTGTCTTGTGACCTTGAGCTTGCTGCTGGGTAGTCCTGGGCCTCAATTCTACTGTGTAAGTAAACCTCTGTACAATAAACTTCTGCAGTTTTCCAGGCTGTTCCCATTTTCCCCAAAGGGCACATGGTCCTCAGTTGTACAAATATTGTACATCTTTCTCAAGAAAGAAAGAAGGGAAAGGAAAAAAGAGACAAGAAAAGAACCGTCCAGAAATAATATGACATAGAAATGCTGTGTAAATTATGTACATTTTTATACCACAACCTGGAAATGATCTTTGCAAACATTTGTCTGCAATTTTATTTATTTTTGGTGGGGGGGGGCTGTTTTGAGATAGGGTCTCATGCAGTCCATGCTGGCCTCAACTAGCTGTATGGCTGAGCATGTCTTGAACTCCTGATCCTGCTTCCACCTCCTGAGTGCTGGGATTCCAGCTTATCTGAGATGCCTGGCGTTTCCTTTTCCTTCACTCTCTTTTTCCCTGACAGAGTCTGGCTGTGCAGCTGAGGCTGACTGTGCAGCTGAGGCTGGCTTTGGACAACAGATCTCCTATCTCCACCTCCTGGGTGCTGGGATTTAGGCACATCTCACCCTACCCCACCCAGCATTGTTTTTACCTGGCCACAAGGCTGAGAATCTGTTTTTAATGAGTGAGTCTTACTGAAGAGACAGCCTTTCCCACTTAGCATTCTGTAGATACAGTAGCGCCCATGAAAGACCACTTCTCTTGAACTCTCTGAGTCCTTTCCCCCAAAATCCTGCCCTAGAGTCCAATCCAGGGTCCCTGTTTGAGCTCTGTTCTACAGCTGGGCAGGATTTCCGTCCAGATGTGGATGTGCACAGCTGACATCTGGACCAGGAACCTTTGCTCCGGAAACCTTTGGTCCGTTTTTACACTGGGTGTCTGTGAAAATGCCTTGAAAATTTTCACTCCATCCACCCATCCATCCACCCACCCACACATCCATACCACAATTAACCTCTGCAGCAAGAATTTCTTTGACTCTTTTCAGACTTCCCTCCCGGGGCAGAAAAGGCGAATTAAGGGATTTCCTTTTGGGAGCCTGGGCTAGACTTTCTATAGTTCCAGCATCCTCAGCGGTGTCAACACCCGCGTCCACCCTAGGCTCAAACCCTCACCTCTGGAGTTGGGGGAAGACATAAAGAAAATGAAATCTCTAAGAGGCAACTCTGAGGTGCCCGACAGATCCCACCATCTCTGTGCAGATCCCAGTGAATGTTAAGCCCCACTCTTCTAGACATCAAGGCCTCGCCCTCCTAGCCCAATTTTTTCTCTGGATAGCGTTGCAACCCTTGGAGAGAGAGAGAGGGGAAGAGCACGGGCCGGCTGGCCACAGGACCCAGGGACCATAAAGACCTGCCCCACGTCTGGAGGACCTGCGCGCCTAAGCAAGAAAACCCTTCCCCGGGGCGGGCGGAGGAGTACGCGGCACCGCCCCCGGGGCGGGCCCAGTGCGTGGCAGCGCCCGCCCGCCGGGTCGCGAAGTTTCCAGTTCAGCTCGAGTCTCAGTGCCCGCGGATCGTACCCAGACC